CTTGGTATTATGAGAACCTTTGACATAAATCAGTCAGTCGTCTCTTCAGCAATGCAATTATATTCTTATGGTCTAGTCTAATGTAGGGTAGTTGATAAGAAAAAAATATCCTAGCTACATTTTCAATGATTTCTTTATAATAGCATAGCTAGATTTTCTTACCACTATTTCCCATTCTGTGTTGCTAACAAAAATGCGTGAACTGTAAAGGGTAAGTTGTGGTGTCCAGCATATGGATGGCATCCGCGCGCGCATGAATTTTCGGCCCTTTCCACAAAAGAAAAGTTTCCAACCATACTGCAAATCGTATAAAACAGTTGCAAAATTAGAAAATACATACCGTAAGGAGTTGTTGATTTGATTATATGGATGGCATACTCTGGGAAGACCAAAACTGATGCGAGCGTGCGAATAAAAAAGTTTTGCAAAACAAACCTGCTTCCATTAATATTTATTAAATCTACGTGGTCATGAAGACTGAACAAATAACACGGTAGGGCGAAAAATATACTCTTCAAATTAATTTCTTTACATTTTCGTTTGATTTTGGCATTCTAAAATATCGGTATCGTTTTTTCGATCTTTTTTAGCAACTTACGGTATATATTTGCTTATTTTGAATCTGCTTTGTACGATTTACAGTGTGGTTGAAATCTTTTTTTTAATCAGCCAAAAATTAATGCGCGCGTGGAAAGGCATCCATATAATCAAATCAACATGGCCTAAGTTGCAAAAAATATTGAAGAAATTTTAAGATGTCAATGTCGTAGAATGCCAAACTGAAAAGAAAAAGACGAAAATGTAAAGAAATGAATTTGGAGACTAGATTATACGCCATACCATGCACGGCTATTTGTTGAACCTTCATTGACGTAGATTTCATAATGGAAGCAACTTTTTTTGCCAAACTTTTTTATTCGCACGCTCACATCAATTTTGGGGTTCCCAGAGAATCTAATCTGTATAATCAAATCAACATGGCGTAAACTACATGAACGAATACATTAATATAAAGAGCGAATAGGTCGATCAGTTCTTTGGTGAGGATCAGACCTTCTTAACCTAGTCCTCGTGCCTAGGGAGTGGTACTTTTAATCTCCAGTGTATAAGTGCATTTTAATCGTGTGTATTGTGTATCGTAGTTACGATGTATGTATGTATGTTGAAGGTGGTATCCATGTTAGTAGTTTTCTCCTACCCCAAGCAACAATTATTACAACTACAGTATTAAATGGCTTTTGATCCTAGGATAACCTTGCAAAAATCGGAATAGACGTGTGTAGTTATTAGGTGTTTGGTTAAGAATATTAAAAATGAGAAAATCACATGGGATCAAAACATGATATTAGCTCAAACTGTACTGACGAGCGAATTCCTAGTTTGTAAGGAAATGTACACTTATAAATAAATGGTAAGGTTGCCAAATGCAACGTAGGAAAAATCAATATCAATATATAACCAGACTATGCCGATCAGAATCTTTTACGCATTATTGTAGTTGAGAGTAGGCTAATATATATAACATAAATATATATATATATAAAAAACACGGCACCAAACTAATTGACGAGTTCATTTATTGGTCTTGGATAAAAACACAACGTCATTTTGATAGCATCATTTTTCTTTGTTGATATAGAAGACACACAATATCAGACAGAATTTTTCGCATCTTGTTTGACGGTATTAAAATTGATAACATTTTACTTTTTCTTGTACTGATAAAGCAAACGACTTGCAGCTTAACTAATGTAAATTAAAAGTACATGTCAATAAAGTCGTTAAACATATTCACTAGGCCCAAAGGCTATCGCATACTAGTATATATTATTCAATCGCAAGTCCCACAATGTACATGGCAACTCTTTAAAGAGCACCGGAAAAAACATTGACCTTTACATTACAATGCTTTAAAACATTATGTTACATTACTTTAAAACATCTCTCCACTGAGAAATCATCTGATTCCATGCAAAAGTTATGATATAGACAAAGTAAACATGTTCATAGTATCCTATACTTTTTTAAATTCTAAACTTGATAAGTCATACGATGGAGAAAGTGCTCCCAGCTCTTTTTAAAGCATGGATTTGTTATACTATAGATAAATATAAGTAAACATTAAATTATAAAGGTAAAAGATCACTACTACTTCATCTATTCAAATGGCATCTTAAAAGGCGTGCAACATCTTAGAGTTATTTGTCTCCAGTTAAAGCTTGGCGCAATGCAAGTCATGGGCTCAATTTACATAGAACTTGCTCCAAGACCTAGGATAAATTACAAGTGAAATCATAGTTTTTTGACTGGGTAAGCTCAGTCATCTACAAACACAGTGAGTATTACAAGGCACTTCTGTTCTTGGTGTAGATTGTTATTTTCCCCAAATCTGCCTCTACCCCTCAGGGCCATGGAGTGAGCCTAGAGAAAGAAAGTGTGTGGGTAAGTCAACAATGTTTGCATGTATTTGGGCGCATGGTGTTTGTTTTCTCTCTAATTAGTTCTGTACACGCTGGTTTAAAAGTAAAGCTAAAACATTTAGAATTTAGGCTTTGTCATAGTAAAACATGTTCTAATGGCGAAAAAGGTGTATCATGGTATTCTTAAATACTTCGAACATACATTGGTAAAAATAATCTCAATCCAAATTAATCTCATCAACGCACGCAGATTGCGACATTTCACTAGATAGATAGATATTATATGATATTTCTTTCAGCAGTAATTCTTACCTGAAGTACCTGGAGCGACACAGTTGTAAGTGATTTCAAGGTATTTGTGAACTCCTGGACACGGATCTCCGAAGATGCTATCCTCGGCGCGTACGAGGCAGGTGGTGCGGCCGTCACAACCAGACTTCACGATCTGTAGAGATCCAGTGGCCTCACAGTCCGCCACCACTAAAGGCCAAGGATTTAGATGTTGACATGTGTTCAACCCACAAACTTCCCTGACATGATGATGGTAACATTGATCAGCATGATTTTATCAATAATTATGCATAATTTATTCTTATCTGATGACGCCATTGACCAAAATCCAAGATGGCGGGCCATATCATTAGATCAGGTACATTCCGGCTATTTTCCTTAAAATTTTATCCCTACTTTGTTTTTTTTTTACAGAAAAGGTATCTTTGAACCTCTTTATTCTATTTTTATTGTAGTTTTAGGCTTTATCTTAAAAATGATTTTCGAAAATTCAATATTGACGATAAAAGATAGCGGACAGTTTGAATATGCATGACGTCATTTTCTGATCTCACTGGTGTTGCTATGGGCAACATACGATTTAAGTAGACCTTAATATTTTCCCTTAAACATCTTTTGTTAAACTTGTGTTGTATCCCATTAGGTTTTAAGAAATTTAGGCAATAAAACACATGAATGACGACATAATGATACCATAATAGACATAATGATATAAAAATTGTGATATCATGAATTATTGCTAGTAGACCATACTCTCAAAATTTAGTGTTTATGTGATATGCCGTTCTCTAGTTCTGAGCCACGCACCCACCCACCCCAGTCCCAAAGATGAAAAAAGCCCAGTCTAGATAGCGTTAACATACCAGTAATTTTTGACACCCCCACTCACTAAAAGTGTCACTGTTCCAATGACACATGGTTAGCACAGATGATTACCTAGTCTTTGGCAATGGGCGAATTTTATAAATATAGGTATTTGTGTCAAATATCTGTGTGAGTTGGATAGGCTATATGATAATAACCGTAATGCCCTGCCTTATATATCCTCGATGTTTATGGTAAAATAATATAATTCCTGGTCATCAGGTGCGATAACCACCTCATAAACCACCTCGTTCGCTCCGCTCACTTGGTGGTTTATTAGATGGTTATCCCTTCTGACCAGAGATTATCTCACCATATACACCTCAAGGTGGGGCATTAACTCTTTATTATTCCTGACTTTGCAATTTCGATTGTATTAATTGAGGGATCTGTACATGTATGTTTGTTGACTTACGAAGCTGGCCGTTGTCACAGATGATGGAATTTGTCCTTCCATACATAGCAGTCACAACATCGATGACCGTCCCATCACTGCAGGAAAGTACGTCCACATGGTGGTCGCAGACGTGCAGTCGATAACGCTCTACATATAAACAAGTGAGGAAATATTACTTTTGTTTTATCATGGTGTCGTATAAGCCCGCAAGGATAATTCTGCGGAGGACGTCATCCTTAAAATTTCCTTGCTGTGGCCTTAGTCATCTTCAATAATTCCAAATGTGTGTTGTCCACTTAAGTAGGACTTCATGTAATTATAGAAACAATTAGAGGAAATTTAGCCCTTCAGGAATCACTGTTATACGAAGTTTCAGACTTCTAAGTCTGAAACTTCGTATAACGCGCCAAGAAGAAAGCTCCATAGAGTTACGTGACCTAGCGTTAACGTGTAAAATTATAAGCATAAAAAGGCACAAACAATTTAATAGAATGGTTGTTGTGTACACTTACCAATCTCTCTCAGCCAGTACCAGATGCCGTTAGGGAGCTCCGCCAAGTCCCGAATCCACGGTGCCTTAAAGTCTTGGAAAATTGGAAGACCAAGATCACTACCAACGACAGTGCCGTACCAATCCTGGTTAGGCATCTCAGCGGTTGTCAACACGGCTGGAAGGCCGGGGTCCTCCACGATCCACGGCATCCTCTGCCCGATACTCCGCGTTCCGTAGTCCCAGTTATCAAACTTTGAGACGAGGATCACGTCGGTCTGGTTGTTCCTCTTGTGGGTGAAGGAATAGTCAAGAGGAACTTCCCACACCCCACCCCAGCGTCCTGGGGCCTCGGCCTCAAGTCGGTACTGTTTTACAAAGCAACAACAAACACATAGTTTAATACAGAAATATTTGAAAATGTAGCATAAAATATGCAATGTGTATATTTTTTTATTAATTGAACTCTTTTGTACATGTAACAATGGAGCTAGGGCCTAAATAAAAAGGACATTTTTGAAATTTCAATACTCATTTTTCACATTACCTGGACTACATTCGTGGATGCGCCTGAAATTTTGATTCGGTCAGCTTTCCCAAGAATTGAGTAGTCTGCGTCTGTTGTAGGCGTTCCTTCATTATATGACAGGACGTTTCCTTTATCCCAGCCTGCCATCGACTTGCTCGTCACGATCAGGGTCCATCCCCCACCGTCACGGGACATGTCACAGTACACCGGTGTAGCCTGTCCATCGACATCGATCATGTAGATACCATCCGTTGCTAACTCCCCACTGTTCTTCATTTGGTGGTATTTATTGTTGCAGGATGATGGCAATTCTGCAAAGACAACAAGAAAACGGAATTTCAAGGAACATTGGATAGTTGAACTCATCACCCAACACTCAATCATTCAAAGCGATAATCAGTAGCCTATAAAATAATACTAATAAGCATGTAATGGATAACACTTACGTGTGCATGTCATGCCATCTCCATGATAACCAGGAGGGCAGTCCCCACAAGCATGACCAGCGTTGGTACTTTGACACTGGACTCCTGGGAAACATGGGTTCAAAGAACATTCATCGAAAGTGGCACAATATTCCCCGATAAAACCAACAGGACAGTTGCAGATGAACGAGTTTACCAGATCTATACATGTGCCGTTGTTTTGACAAGGAGAGGACTGGCACTCATTCGTGTTTATGTCACAACGTGGTCCCGTAAAGCCAGGCTGGCACAGACAGTCGTAGTGCCCCTCCCCTATAGGCATGCCGGGAGAAGGCACACACACTCCGTTATTGTTGCACGGGCATGGGATGGTTGAGAAGGTAAACGCTTGCACGTCTTGGGCTCCACATTGGTCTGTAAGGATGATATCCATGGCAAAGGTATCTGGACCATGTGAGATCCAGGTTAGGAAACCGTCTGGGCTGAGCGATAGACCATGCGGAAGATTTTGGCTGGCCGAGAATGACATTGGACGACCCTCTGGGTCATGTCCGGCAATCATTACGGTAAAGGAGTCAGATTGCACCTTAGTGATGTTGCCTGATGAAAGGATTGACGGAGGCTGATTCACTGCATGGAAAAAATAAAGTATAGGTTACATCGGTGAAGGTTAGACATCCAGGTAATGACATACGCCAAAACACAGTTACTCAAGCAACGTTCCAAAATCATATCGAGTTTCTAGAGTAAGAGTTTTTTGGCGGATAGTATAGGTTGTTACGAGTGATTAAAAACTGCCTTTGCACAGGCGGTATTGCAAAACATAAGCGTAATACACCAGTTTCTTCTTTCGCATCTGTATACAAACAAGTACGAAATATAATACGGGGTATTCCATATCGCCTGAGGTTCTGGCCCGACCGCGGGTCGGATCGCCAAAGGGCGGAAGGGAGCTCCGACCCACTGAAGGGCTGGAACCGTTGGTGATGTGAATTACACCTTGTTGTATTCTATCTATGTTATATCCACCTAAGAAAACAAAACACACTTATCAATGCGAAAAGAGACAAAATTTGGTGTTGTAAATCTAAGAATGCAACGAAATCAATTTCAATGTCCGAATCGGGTATTTAAATTTTCGAAAGCAGCTCACGCGGATAGGTCGAAACGGGTTCAACTTTTTTTCTATGGAAGCCCGGGCAGTACTGTAAAGTACGGCCCGACAGAACAGCGTTAATGAAGGTTATCATGACCCGGGCAGGATGTATATAGAATACTACACGCTCGGTTGGGTTAAGGCAGCCTATGGCATACTATGAGTAGTATTTCATACATATGCCTGTAACTTTTGATAGGTTGGTCGCACCACAACTAAACTTCACACAGTTCTAGTAGTACTTGAAACACATTGAATAAAGGTTATTTTGTTTTTAATACTTCTGGATTTTTGGGTTAGAAATCAACATTTTGGTTTAAAAAAGAGTTTACTTCATGGCTTTACGCGCAAGCGGTAACAACACCTTTCATCATGATATTTTACAAGTAGAAAGCCAACCCCCTATTTATTATTTTTGTCCGAGGCTATTTTGTGTTAAATGACAGTTACATTGTTTTTTTGGGCCAAAAACGACAGAAACAGCTATTTTTCTGTCATTTTTCGTAAAAAAATCGCCACAGTTAAAAAATATCGACTTATATGTAAAATAGCCTCGGACAATTTTGATAAAAAAAGTGATAATACGTAAACATGGATTACTCTAAAGATCAATTATGCTGTTTTCAGCTGCGCGTAAAGTCGTTTATGTCATAGTCCGTGAATAAAATGCGTAACAGCGCGGGTTTACAGGGGAAACATACAAATGACCGCGAGTGACCCCGAATTCGAACACGCGTTCTATTCGAATGACGTCATATCGAACATGGTGGAACATGATTCGGGTTCGAAACATGTTTGTGGCAATCGTGCAGACACACGCCGGAACTCAAACATGAATAGGCCGCCTTAACCCAACCGAGCGGTGCATTCCGTATCACCCGAGGGCTGGGATCAAGCCAGGGTAATGCAGAATGCACCGTGTTGCATATTATACCCACCCGAGAAAACAGACACAGTTGGCAGATTTAAAATGCGAAATGTGCAAAATTTTTGTTAATCTAAACAAAAAGTGTAACGGTGCCAATTCTAACATTCGAATTCGGTGTTCAACTCGGAGCACCCGAAACTAGTTTGCATTATTCTATGGAAAATTCGGAAGACCTGTGTGATAAAACACACACACACACACACACCCATATATTGACAATCTCTCTAAATCAAGGTTGACTGAGATTTGACGTCTATATTATAACCTCACCTTCCCTTCTACTCCATTCGGATGTATTTGTACTTGACAAGCACTGTTGACACCAATCGTCTGGGTTTGAGTCTTGGTCTTGAAAGCAGTAGCCTCTAATAAGGCAAGACCCATCCTGTAAAAAATATGATATATGTTATTTGAGGTAACCTTTTCTAACTCCGTGCAGCAACTACGATTGTTTACAGTTACTTGGGATGTTTATTTGGACCCAAATGACAAACAGCCATTAAATTAACATGAAAACAAATAAAAAAATACGATTAAAAATTGTGGGAAATTTGATTATGTGATTTGATATATACAGAATATGGCATCACATATTCGTCGCAATTTTCCAATGATGCAGTAGAATAAGTTTTAATCGATATTTTCATTTTTGTCAGTATATTTCTAAGAGGACCGTGCTACTGTAGAAATCTTCAGGAAAGCAAAACGACACTAGTATTTGCAATCTTTGAGTGTAATTTTTTAACGTTGATATACGAGAACCATATGTGATGGCATTTCGGTATGCTTTTATATTTTGGCGTTTATCTTTTTTGAGGAATTTCGGGTTTTCGTGTCCCTTAATTTCACCCGATCTTCTGTTGCTGCCACTTAGTCATTCTATCTGCCAATCATCAACCACCCACATGATGTCAACGTGTTCCCAATTACACCTCATTCTGAGTGTTTGACAGGCGTTTGATCACTATATCTCCAAACCACGTACCTACTCCATCGGCACAAACAGTAATTTAATCCCATGCACCAAAACAATACGTATATATATACTTCCCTACCAGAAAATAATGGCTAACCTTCAGAGAGCAAGCGCTATCCTCTACACAGTTCTGGCAAACCGAATCATAGATGATCAGCAAGAGTTCGTCGCTGAAGTACACACCCTCGTTGCTAATAGAGATATACAGCCCATAAGATGGAGTGCCGTCACCAGGTAAGTGGTACCTGTTTGGTTGAACCTTGGGTGGTGGTAGGTAGCAGGCAATTTCTGTGAAGCTTTCGAAGGAAGCAGATGTCTGGAAGCTTATTCCGCTTTTTGTCCATTGGCCATTTTGAAACTACGGTGAACAGAGAAACTAAGTTAGAGTACTTATAAGATGTTTAACCCTCAACAGTACACCTTCCCGGACTGATTAATCTGTACACCTGGGGTCCGCGCGGACCCCAAGACAGTTTTTTGCTAATTTTTAGAAATTATCAACATGCTACCAGCTCAATTGTTTTGCAAACTCATGTGGGAACCTCTGTGTCCACATTACATGCAAAAATCATACATTTTGAACTTTTTCTATTTTTTGGTGAAGAAAAGAAGAAATACCCGATTTTTAAACCCATTTCAGACTGAAGGGGCTTTTTAGGCCCAACTTTGATCTCAGATAGCGGCTAAACGGCTTGCGCTAGAAGTATCAAATTTGGAGACCTTTCCTAAAATGTCTCTGGAAAAAAGTTTATATTAGTTTAATACTAGTAAGTTGATGTTTTTTTGTGTTGCCATGGCAACGGGTTTCTAGCAGGCAGTTTTTTTTGAAAATAGAAGTAATTTTGATTTAAACATAAAATTTTTAAGAGTTTTATATTAAATTACACTTCTTTTCCAACATGAATAACATCTTACATAATCAAATATGTTAAATCATTTAATATGCATAGAATATGCTAATTTGATGACGTCATTGGTCAAAATCCAATATGGCGAACTATATTATTAGCTCTGACGTCATATAACGTCATAATTACACCAAAGTTATTAAAATTTAATTCTATTACAACACCATTCTCTGAAAACTTGGTAGACATACGATGAGTGCATAAAAACATATAAAAACGGAAATAAGGTAATGTATAAGAACGCCGGTGTATCCATTATGATTGAAAGCCGGCTGGGGTCCGCGCGGACCCCAAAAGAAAATCAGATATAATTTTTTTTATAAAAGGTAGAAACGGATTTTTCTGCACTGTATTGAGAGACAACTTTGTGAGTGACAATTACCTAAAATTTCAGAAAAAAAATCTTTAGAAACAAAAAAGATATTACAGAATATATAGTGCTGGGGTCCACGCGGACCCCAGGTGTACTGTTTAGGGTTAACACCTAATCTCAAAATTCTATATCGTGTTCCACATTTATTTTTTAACAAAATTTTAAAAAGGCAAAATTATATTAACATTTACACTCCGTTTTTACCTTTTAACTTATATCACCGTGTCTTAGTATATTTCCCAGATGTAAAGAGTACTTTTCATTAATGTGCCGGGCATTTATGTGTCAGACACATGGTTTTGTCAATAACAAAGTTTAAAAAATAAAGGTTAATACTACTACGAATCATTCATCTAAACTAGTGTTCGTACCGAGGCTTCAGCTACTCGACATGTCAAGTTCTCAGACTTGAGTAGGTTTTTGCCGAAAACGTTGACCTTTTCACACGGCCTCTGGCGAATGTCGCAAAGACCGCCTCTCTTGAGATCCCACACCACGGGCGCAGTATCAGCAACGACTCCACAATCTTTGCCGATCCAGCCATCGTTACAGATGCATTCGCCATCAGCGCAAATGCCTTTAAAACTGCATTGGTTTAGACACAACTTTTGAACAAAGGCTTGCGGTGGAGTCAATGTCCCGTTCTCGTTCTCTTCAAACATGCTGACATTTGCCAAGACGGCGCTACTGCACTGCTGTTCCATGGTGTTCAAGGCAGAAGATGCCCAATCCGGGTCACCAGTCAGCTGTAAAACATAATATTTGTTCACTGCATGAAGGAAATGCATTATTTGCCTGATATGCTCCCGTTGCGTTGATCCAGATACTGATCGACAGCAAAACAATATGTAGCAGTTGTACAGCTGTTTTAAATATCAAGACCGTTGATTCCTGTAATTTTTCAAGATCTCCAAAAAGGCGCATAGTGATAATGTCAAATATGCTGCTCTTTGGATAATGGTAGCATAGAAAGTTGTTCTATGCTATTATTAAAATGTATCAAAAGTTCTTTGGTGACTCAGGTTTACGCAGACAAATAGTATAATTATATTCAATATTTTATAATCAATATTAATGCAGTTACCATGTTTTAATGTTTTTTTATTAAATTTGTATTAGTTCGAATTGTCAACAACTGAATTACATTCTTGTCTTAAATATGGCCACAGTTACGTACCTTGATGTCTTCCACGCATTGTGATAGGGTACTGAAGATATCCACGTTTCCTTGTTCAGCACAAAACGCTGACATGCTGGAGTTCTGCAATGCTTGCTTGCAGTAGTTCTCTGCGAACTGCTGGGCGCTTGGCGAAGGCCAATCTGGGATTACTGCCACGAAATTGGGGAAGTCAAAATTATAGTTAGTATCATGATCATCCTCGTCATGGTAGCCTGTGTCCCTCATTCTTCTCATTCGATTATTGAGTCTGTCTATGATGGACTCTCCTAGAAGTGTTTCAATGCCCCTCTTTTTGGCACGTTTGCCTCCACCGCAATGAACCTCTCCATATACATCTGAAGGATCAGATGTACTCCGACAGTCACAGTAAATCGATGTGTCAGTATCAACTGGTGCAGGGCGTCTTTCCCAGAAAGATTCTCCGGGATTTATCCTACAGCAGGCAAGAGTAAATTGTTGTGGGTAAGATTGAATTCTAGAATTTGCATGGTATAGTTACGATCAATTCTAAAAATGCAAAGATGTGATTAGAATACCGCACATAGTCATTTTTATTTTTTATATATTCTAAAAAAAATCATCAAGATAAATTGTTTAATAAATGATTTTATTTTTTTTAAATAAGTCATGATCTAGGACTCTATGACTTTTCGGAGTCAGCAAGTTCCGATTCAGAATGCAAAGTATATGAATAATATGGTATAGTATACACGTATACATATATCATCATTTTGAATTATCATTGTATGGAATACTACGTTTTATGTAGTCTTTTTTTGTCTTCTCAAGTTCACTTATTATCAATTGAGTCTAAAAGCATGGCTTCATAGCGTGGCTATATGACTAACTGACTCGTACCTCCAAGACTCGAAGAATGGGTCTGGGTAGTTATCACTACCGGTATGAAAGGTGCCGTCGGGTTTCTCAAAGTCGTTGGTCTCATCTCCGTCAAAGTTCCCACATATCCCATAGGAATGGCGGTAATCATCACCAGGTACTTCGATTCTGATGTTCATGTGCCTTGTGTACACATTGACTGTTACTATTGATCCAGATGGGAAATACATCTACGAAAAACAGAGACACACACAGCTGATTCAGTACAATACATTATAATCAGATATTATCAATTTCAAATGTGTACGTCAGTCATTTGGGACTGCGTTAATAATTGGTATTAGAGGCATTTGCATGTCATACCCAATATGGTATATGGATGTCTTAAAATGGTAGAATCCATTTGCCTAACATAACAAGAAAAGGATCATCAGAAAAAGAAACACCGTGGAAAGCAATTTTATAAAATAGAAAGGCCTATATTTTCTCGGTAGCAAATACAATATATTTCAGTCACAACCCTTCCCATAATATGAACTGTTTCAAACTCACACATGTGCAAAACTACTCAGTAGAGTTAAGACCATTTCACGACCCCCCAGCAATTTGGGCGCCGGCCGCCTTAGCAACACATAGATACAACCTTTGACCCTGAATTTTCCAGATTTCTCCTATTGTTTGATAATTGCCCTGACCCTGCCCAGTGTGAAAACATTGCAAGAGGGGTGCCGGTGGACAGGTAAAGTGATACCTGGCCTCTGTGGAGTGTGAAATGTTTGGCTGTCTGGGAACAGTGCTGGATGTGTATTATAATTGACAAAGGATTCCATATGTCTAGTGTTTCTGATTTGTGTGATTCCCAGAGGTCAACATTACACACTGGTCGATTGCTCTGTCAAATGTGACATTTTCATTGCAAATAGCCTGACAAGGCATAAAACCTATAACATTCAGAGACTTTAGTAAAGGAGAACCTGAGTATATTTATCATAAACACCAGGGGTACTGTTGATAATCAAAAGTCTGATACCCCTCCATGTTTTGTTTGTTTTGATGAGCAATTTTCATTACAGGACTTAGGAGAGTACTCTTATACTAGTGTTCCGACTAGTGGTTTGACATAGGTAAAACCTTGCACACATTTTCTTTCGAATTTTGGTAAGTTCTATATAACCCTTTTGCGTCGGAACAACAGACGATAAACTGGATAGTGAGTGCGCAGTGTAATCAACTTGTTAAAAAGCTTACGCCAACCAAATTATAGTTATACTTTTGATGTTATTGACTTGTTCCTTGTGTTGTTGTAGAGTATGTTGGATCAAGAAATGGATTTTTGATAAAGTAGTCTTTTTCTAGTGTTACAATGTACTAGTACTTGGAACCCTGAAACAATGGTTGTTTATTGCTGACAAACCAAGCCAAGCTGACTGTCTGGCACTAGCAGGTAAAGGTGTGAACAAGCCGTGAACTGCCTATTGTTCCCCTCGGGTAGTCTGGTCCCCAACAAGGAACATGCTATGTCAACAAGTTAATTGGCTGTATTGTCCACTTATCCCAACAAAGTGATCAGATTTCAGTTCATAAGAAGCCAGAAGTTCAATTTTTGTGATCCTATTTTAGCCCTAAAAGCGCATCAACAAACAACATTCTTTTGAGTTACTGAACACATGTATAGAAAGTAGACAAGTTGTTCTAAAACAGTGTGTCGGGCCCAGAGTGCACTACATTTCCATGACTTTGCTGACCCTGTATGAATATTGTAAACATGTGATTTTTGCCAAAAATCTGAACATATTAGATAATATCTCTTTTGTAATAATAATGATACACCTGGGATCGATGGGATGTTATAGGGTTTTTACTGACGAATACATACATACCATATTTGTTTGAAAAAAAGTTTGTCTAGGGGTCCCGCCGGGCACTTGAAGTTTATAAATTTAGATGTGCTTATGATATCAATATTATAATATTAGCAAGTTATTCACAAAATTTATGTAAGCAGAGAGTTTGCCTTTGACCTTGTGCTTTAGTAGTTGTCGGAAATGTCAGAAAATAACCACCAAATAAGTGTACATTACACTTGAAAGTTGGGCTGTCAGTTAATGAGGCAGGGAGGCTCAGGGAGGGGGACAATGGTCTTAACTCTATTGAGTAGAACATTCTAAAACATGTAACTTCTGTTAGGGAGGCCAAAGTGAAAAGTTAAAAGTTCTGTAGAAAGCAAATTTTTGCAAAGTCATCCAAGTTGGAGCCTTCTCAACCTGACACCAATATTAAAAAAAAATGAATGTTCTCACTAGTCAAACAAAGAAAAATGTTAAAAGCTTAAAGCGGAAGCGATCTAGAAGCTGGAGAAGGAGAATTAAAAAAGCAATATTTCAGCCATACACATGGTATAACTGAAATGCAATTAACTGCTTATGGTGCAGTACTATATAAACACGTGTAATGGCTTAGAGATATGTTTAAGAGTGAAAGAATGTTGCTAAATACGATACGACTCAAGACAACAAGATGCGATCTGGAGACGGGAGCTTTATTCAGGACATTTCAAGAAACACAATAGCGGAAAAGGCCGCAGAACACAGTGTTAATGTGCCACCCCCGTCTATGACGCGGATATAGAAAGGCTACTCACTTATGTGAGAGGTAGTCATGAGTAAACTGCGCTGTGTGGTATAGACACGTATCGGCTTGTACACCGTATGATTTAGATTTTGAAGATTTTCCTGCTCGTGTATAAATGCGCGGCATTACGCAACCACGTTCCAGGGTGAGCCGGCTGCATTCCGTTGACCCCAGCAGAGGGCCAAATCAAAGTGGTCGTCATGATGTTTAAAAACCATAACTTTTTGTTTGGTTTTAACTTATTTTGTAGAATATACCGTATACTTTAAAATATTACTTGGCCGTGGTTCTCTAGTGCACCGTACTATAATTCTACCGCGTCGAAGTGAGTCACCTCGGGGTTCTTAACTATAGGAATCCCCTTATGTCCCCGTCACATTGTCAACGAGCTTCGGCCGTATTTGTCAATCGCCGAAAGATCGGCCGATTTTGAGATCGACCGACGATACGCGTATTTTTGGCTTGAAAATCGTCGCGGTCACATTGTGCGAGGCTCGGGCGATCGCTTGGCAATACATCTATGATAATGAAGTCCCTATGACATGGCACGCAGAAGAAGCAAGGCCGTGTATCCACCAAAAATGAATAGTTTAACCAATTTTTATGTTTGACCTGTCGTTATATTTTTTAAGCAAAGTAATGGAGCGGACTGGCAGAATAAAATAGAAATGCAAACAGGAATGCTGTGAAGGATCCAACTCAAATACTACCACAAAAGCCACAAATTTACATTACCGTCTGGTTAACACAACGACCACCATTTTAACCAGACAGGAGTCGGCCGAAGCTCGCTCGACACACGGGCGTAAGTCGCCCGGGTTACGGTCGACGATCTATCGATGCTCGCACGATCTATAGACCATTCAACCAAAACGTACAACAAGACATAATTATTATTATATGAAAATCTTTTTATACACGGATAACTGAACAAAGCTAATAAGATATATTGTTCTAAAACTTTGCCTGTATACTTCTGTCTAAAATAGTATGAATCTTCCGGTAAACAAGTCATTCAATGTCAACAAAGTAGCCAGAGGTAAAAAGACCCATGCAATATAAACTTTAACTAGTAAGTAATATCTATCACATGACGTTTTTTGGGGGGGGCACCCTAAGAAAAAAGTCAACCTCATTCCAGGATGAACAAGTGTAAACGTCAATTTATTATACAATCTTCTGAAATAAGGCCACACACCTCCTAAAGGGACAAGAGTAAAAAATTTCATGTGCGTTCAATCAGTTGAGGTCCAAATCTAGGCATTTGGCCTTATATACTTAAAACCTCGTCATCTTTTTAAAGTGGTTTCTTTATTAACGCATGTTGATTTAACAAAAGGACAAAAAGGACGATTTTGTCTATTTTTATCCTTTCTCGTAAACATAACTTTAACAATCAATGGGACGTTGCTCCTGCAAACTTTACACAGTATACTGTCAATGCAATCTCAAATAAATTTCACAGGTGCTGAATAAATAATAACTTCACAGGAGCTCGGCCGAGGCTCGTAGAACCTTCGTCCGACACTGGCACGAAGCTCGCTCGAAGCACGCACGATTTAAAAAAAACTTTACGCAAGTCGGGCGAGGTACGGAAGAGGGTCGCCCGAATATTTCGCGAAGCTCGCGCGAGGGTCGACCGTATTCAGCGACCGTCGCCCGATTTTAATAGACAAAATACGGCCGAGACTCGTGGGATGTACGTCCAAATATCGGTCGACTCTCGGCCGCACAGGGGCGAGCTACAGACGAGCTAC